CAACAACAAACAACAAGGAAACCCCAACCCTAAACCCTAAACCCTACCTACACCTTCAAAAAAAGAAGTAGAACTATGGGTCCAGGTAAGGGAGTGCATGGCTGTTGGATGCAACGTATTCAACCGAGGCTCAGAATCACATCACCGTATGTAGAAGAATTCAGCAGCATGATACTATATACATATATGGGTGGTTCTCTAAAATTAGGGTCCGTTGGGTCCTATTTATAGTACGGCACCCTTATGTATAATCAGGACCCCGAAGGGGACCCGAATATTGAGAACTACCCATATGTTAGACCCAGGAGTAACTTAGGAAAAAAAGGGTTCTGTTTTGGACAGAAAGGGATTATCGGGGAACCCTAACCCGAGAAAAAGGGAATCATGGCCTACTCCTGGTCCAATTTGATTGTATATATGGGGGCTTTCCGGAAATTGGGGTACCCTTTCTGGGGGATCGTATAACGAAGACTATCGTATATGGGGGTATATTCGGGGTACCCCTATTTTGGGAAATGACCACATATCCCGGTAGCCCAGGTAACCATATTATGGTAGGCACCCCTTTGTGAGTTGGTTCCTTTATAAGGGAAACCTGAACCGAAAACAAAGGGGGGGAAAGGTTACCACTGTGCTACCAAGATATGAATGTGTAAAAACAAATAAACAGAAATATAAATATAAATATAAATATAAATATAAATATAAATATAAATATAAATAAATAAATATGAATATATATATATATATATACATTTACATATACATATGTGGTCACTTCTCCAAATGATGGTACAATTTTGGGGTCACTATTCCAGGGCGGCCCCTAATTTTTAGGGCATGCCAAAAGGGACCATAATTTTAGAAGCGACCATATTCTTCATATACTTGTACTGTAGTACTGCAACTGCCTTATCAGATTATGTATGGTCTTCCATTATAGAAATTTTCACTAGGCTATGTATCCTGAAAGTTCTGCAATTAAGGGATCTGCAACCAGAGGGAAACGCGGGGGGTGGGGGGGGGGGGAAATGACTTGGGAGCACGAAACCCAAAACCAAAAACTATAAACCATGGGCCCTCAAGTCCCAGAGCTGTAAAGCGCGAAGCCTGAACCGTATAAAGCCTTAGAAGCCCTAATACCCTCATTGTAAACCATAGGCCCTATATGACGTCCCCTTCGGGCTCTCTTCATAGGATCATCACGCGCCCATCATGCCCAAGGGGCCCAAAACCCTGAACCCTAAACCCATAACCCTAAAATCAGGGGGCGACAACTGGCGACAACCCTAAACCCTAAACCCGCAACCAATTCCTAAGCCTGAAACGCTAAACCCTACAATCCGAAAACCCTAATTCCTTCGTTGGAAACTCAGAAGCCTAGACCCTAAACCCTAAACCCTAAACCCTAAACCCTAAACCCCTAGCCGGAAACCCTAAACCCTACAACCCGAAGAGCCCGAGTCCCTGTAAGCTCCCGGCATGGAAGAGGTTGCACGCCTTCAGCGCCTCCTGCGTAGCGTTTAGGGTTTGGGGTTTGGGGTTTTAGGGTTTAGGGTTTAGGGTTTAGGGTGTAGGGTTTAGGGTTTAGGGTTTAGGATTTAGGGTTTAGGCGGTTTCGGGTTTAGGGTTTAGAGTTTAAGGTTTAAGGGGTAGAGCGCTTGGGGCGTCTGAGGAGGGAGTTCACTCGAAACCAATCCCAAGCTCCAAATCCTAAACCCTAAGCCCTGAGTCCGAATTACAAAGGTCCCGAACCTAACCCTAAACCCTAAACCCTAAGTTTGCAGAAACGGCTGCGTCCTGACGGCTGCTTTCTGGCGTTCGGGTTCAGTAAGGTCCGTGGATCCCAAACTCGCACGCTTTAGCGTTAGCCCCTCAAAGGGCTTTCTGAATTACTAGGCTTTAGGGTGTAGCGTCTAAATCTAAGGTTGAGGATTTAGAAACTCCGAAAAGCCCTAAACCCCACACCCTCTTCCCTAAAAAGGGCAATTGAAGTCTTCACACACCGGAATTAAACTTGAAACACCCATAGTCTGCCTAAGCCCACATCCCGAAACCCTCCTTTCAACCCAATAACCCTATGAGCCCCAAGCCCTCACGACCTAAACCCTGTAAACCCTGAACTTCCCCAAGCCCTGAACAGCCTTAACCCTAAACCCTAAACCCCCCTAAGCCCACAATGAGTCCAGAATCTCGGGGATCTCCAGTGCAATTTCGTGGATGGCCATGGTGGCAGTGGCGCTCGTGCGCCGTGAGAATTGCGACCTCGCTGGCTTTAGTGGCTTTTGGGGGGTTTAGGGTTTCGGGTTTAGGGGTTTAGGGGTTCAGGGGTTTAGGGGTTTAGGATTTAGGGCCTAGGGGCAGAGGGTTTAGGGGTTTAGGGTTTAGGCGGCTGGCATCATGCAACCGGTAATGCCACCTACACCCTAAACCCTAAACCCTAAACCCTAAACCCTAAACCCCCAAACCAGCCTCATGTCAGTAGCTTCCGAAGCAAGTGGTTCGAGAAGCGGGCCTGTAAACCTCTGAAGAAGTGTACCCAGATCTTCCAAAACCCCTTATTTAAGGAATATGTACTATTCATAATACGGATCCTTAGTATACGTAAATTAGGGTACTAAGGGGTTTTGGAAGCCGGGAAGATACTGAGGTTTGAGGGCTTAGGGTTGAGGGTCTGGTGTCAGGGGGTTTTGTAGACGAGGGCTTAAGGTTTAGCAGGGTTTTGGGTGTGTGGCTGAGTCTGAGGGTTCCGAGCAAGAGAATTCCTAAACCCTAAACCCTAACCCTAAACCCTTGCAGGGCTTAGCCCTAGCTGGCTGAGGCTTCGGCAGGCTCGTCACCGTCACCTGCCGGACCTGGCCCAAGCCAAGATGCCGCTTCGCCGGCTAGGGTTTAGGGTTTAGGGTTTAATTAGGGTTTAGGGTTTAGGGTTTAGGGCTTAGGGTTTAGGGTTTAGGGTTTAGGGTTTGGGGATTAGGGTTTAGGGTTTAGGGTTTGGGGTTTGGGGTTTAGGGTTTGGGGTTTGGGGTTTGGGGTGTGAGGTGTGGGGATTGGGGTTTGGGGTTTGGGGTTTGGGGTTTAGGGTTTGGGGCTAGACGCAAGAGGCACCTAGGAATAAGAAGGGGTGCCCTTTTTGGTTTAGTGGGGCTTATAAGCGCGTGTGGAAACGTGGAGCACCGTCCATAGTCTCAGAGGGACTGTGAACTTCTTCCAGGGTCGATTTAAAGGGACTGAGCAGTTCAATCGAGTGCTGCAGATGCCGGATGTGCTATTTCGCAGTGGTTCCTAAACCGTAAACCCTACACCCTAAACCCCAAACCCCAAACCTGTTCAGCTCTGGGGATTCCCGCAGCCGGAATTGAATTGAACTCCGCTCAATCCTTACAGGGTGCCGCACCCCAACATCGTAGATAGCTGGCGATTGAGGTGGGGCTCGGGTAACTTCTACCTTGACCCCCCCAAAATCTCCAAAACTGCAAAACGGTAACTAGGGTACTAACCAATTCTGTACACATCCCTAAACCCTAAACCCGAATTTTGGGGCGTGACCCCCGAAATCGTAGGTAAATGGAGCTGCGCGTCGCCTGCCGTTTCGTTGGGAGGCGCCCAATCCTGGCCCCCGGGGGCACGGTCGCAAGGGTCAGGCTTCAAGATTTGTTCGGGTTTAGGGTTTAGGGTTTAGGGTTTAGGGTTTAGGGTTTGGGGTTTGGGGTTTGGGGTTTCGGGTTCAGGGCTTAGGGTGGCCTGATGCACTTGGCACTCATGCCTTTTGTATGACATCCATTGAGTGTCTGACATCCAAAATTGCGCCTTCAAAAGGGCCCATGCCCAATCATGAGCCCTAGCCCACGCAAACAGCTCTTGAATCAACCCGCCCAACAAGTCGATTCGGATGTCCCAGCTGCTGATTATTTCTGTACGACGAAGAACCTCGCAACAATGCAAGATAATAATCCCTATCTTGCTCCTATGCCGAACAATATGTTTTACCTTTTTGGGGGCTCCTCCTCCTCCTCCCTCCTCCTCCCTCCTCCTCCCTCCTCCTCCCTCCTCCTCCCTCCTCCTCCCTCCTCCTCCCTCCTCCTCCCTCCTCCTCCCTCCTCCTTCTCCTCCTCCTCCTCCCTCCTCCTCCTCCCTCCTCCTCCTCCTCCCTCCTCCTCCTCCCTCCTCCTCCAGCAGCTGCAAAACCCTGTCCCCTGAAAGCACCCCCAGTCGATTCCTCCAGATCAATGGCTAGCCGAAAAACACTCTTCAACGCAACCCTCTTTAGTCAGGACAGGGAAAAAAAACAAATATCAAGGTCGTACCTAGGTAGTACTACACCGCAAACCCTAAACCCCAAATTCTTCCCAAAACCCTAAATCCTAAACCCTAAACCCTGAGCCCTGAACCCTAAACCCTAAACCCTAAACCCTAAGCCCTAAGCCCTAAGCCCTAAGCCCTAAGCCCTAAGCCCTAAGCCCTAAGCCCTAAACCCTAAACCCTAAACCCTAAACCGCAGCCGGGTGCGCAAAGGCGGGGGCAGCAGCGCACTGGGCTCAGGAATCGGGGAGAAGGCGGCCGTCACCCTGGGGGCTTCGAGGGCTGGTGGGGTTATGGGGTTTAGGGTTTAGGGTTAAGGGTTTGGGGTTTAGGGTTTAGGGCTCGCAGTGGGACTTGGGGTTTAGGGTAAACATCCTGGAACCCCTAACGCCCCTAAAACCCTAGGCCCTAAACTCCCACAAGCCCTAAAACCCTAAGCCCCCAAGCCTCATCCCGCCCCGACCGTCGGAAGCAGCTAAGAAGGGGAGGGTGCCTTGCTTGCGCCTCAACCCTCTCAACCCTATAGGGTTTAGGGTTTAGGGTTTAGGGTCTAGGGTCTAGGGTCTAGGGTTTAGGGTTTAGGGTTTAGGGTTTAGGGTTTAGGGTTTAGGGTTTAGGGTTTAGGGTTTAGGGTTTAGGGTTTAGGGTTTAGGGTTTAGGGTTTAGGGTTTAGCCCTAAGCCCTACCTGGGAGCCTCTTTACCTACAGCTTTCTGGGTTCTGCATACTAATGAAGTAGGTAAAGAGGGTGACAGGTACCCCAGTCACTAAACCCTATAAACCCTTAAACCCTAAACCCTAAACCCTAAACACCCCCGATACCCACCCTGGGACATGGGCCAGTGGTAGTCCACGGCGTGCTCCCGCGCCCGCTGCTCTTCGGCGCCCTCCCGGCCCTGATTTTCGTTTGGGTTTAGGGTTTAGGGTTTAGGGTTTAGGGTTTAGGGTTTAGGGTTTAGGGTTTAGGGTTTAGGGTTTAGGGTTTAGGGTTTCGGTTTAGGGTTTAGGGTTTAGGGTTTAGGGTTTAGGGTTTAGGGTTTAGGGTTTAGGGTTTAGGGTTTAGGGTTTAGGGTTTAGGGTTTAGGGTTTAGGGTTTAGGGTTTAGGGTTTAGGGTTTAGGGTTTAAAGTTTAGGGTTTAGGGTTTAGGGCTTAGGGCTTCGGGCTTCGGGCTTAGGGTTTAGGGTTACGTCTTGTGGGGATTTGGGAAGGTTGCTGGAATTTCTACGTGTGTTCCACAGCACTTTGACTGGCTTAGGTGTAAGGTTCACGGGGTCATTTAAAAAAGGGTTGAGAGCCTAGGGCTTTGGGCAATATGAAAACAGGTCCTCAGTACCCATCCCCCTTACGTAAGCCTCGTTTGGGCCGTCCATGTTTGGCTTTATGGCTTAGGGTAATCCAGGTCCCAGAGATGTACCTAGGCCGGAATGGAAGGAATTAGGGTTTAGGGTTTAGGGTTTAGGGTTTTAGGGTTTAGGGTTTAGGGTTTAGGGTGCTTCTACGGCACACCCCCAAAATGTGAGTCATGCAGAAGGCCCAAAGCCTTGAACCTACAAACTCAAAAACTCTTGGTCCTTCACACTGCAACTCTAAGGCCCTATACCCTAAACACTGAAACCCGAAGCCCGAAACCCGAAAACCCGAAAACCAGAAGTCAAACGCTTAAGCCCTAAAGCTTAGGGTTTAGGGCTTACCCTAAACCAGAAACCCAAAAAGCCAAAATCCCAGACACAGGAGTAACCTAGGAATAAGCAGGGTGGCCTTTTTGGCTTGCAGGGGTTTGTTCAGGGAGCCCAAGCCCTAAACAAAGGGATTAAAGGGCCTACTCTGGGTCTGAGAATGAGACGCTTCAGGCGGTTCCTCATTAAACCCTAAACCCTAAACCCTAAACCCTAAACCCTAAACCCTGAACCCTGAACCCTAACCCCTAAACTTTAAACCCTAAACCATAAACCCTAAACCCCAAACCACAGCTACGGTTCCTCATTCAGCAGGTTCTGCACGAAGAGCTTGTCGCCAGCCAGCGCGGCCTGAGCAGCACCCGCGCGCGTGAACCCCTGAAGTGCCCTACAGGGTTAGGGTTTAGGGTTTAGGGCTTAGGGCTTAGGGCTTAGGGTTTAGGGTTTAGGGAAACCCAAATTAAACACTAAACCCAAACCCTAAACCCTAATCTCAAATCTAAACTGGGTCGAACGTTTGAGGTTTAGGGTCAATTTCGGGCTTGGGGCTTGCGTTGAAAGCCTTCCGACCTACAGTTCTACAGTTTGAAGGGGCCAAGGCAACGGTGACCAGCAACTCATAACCTACAGAATAGAAGGTTTTTGGTTTAGGGATGAGGGTTTAGGGTTGAGTCTTTAGGGTTGAATTAGGGTAGGAGGTAGGATTAGGGGACCCTTGGTGATATAGACCACCCTCTCAGTAGGGTCCCTCCTCAATAGCACCAGATGAGGGTTTAGGGTTGAGACTTTAGGGTGTGAATAGGGAAGCCCAGTCAAGCAGTCTGTTGCAGGCTGGGAACATTTGCAACAACATGCGGTGCCGGCAAACAGAAAACCGTACATGTATTCCACCAACTGAAGTCTGAGAAAAGCCCTATAACCCTAAAGGTCTATGTACCTAAATCGAGAACACTTTGGCCTTAAAGTGCTTCCTATACGCGAGCTTCGTGGCCCAAGTATATAACTATATGGTACATGGACCGTCAACCCGAAACCCTAAACCCTAAACCCTAAACCCTTACAAGGGTCCGCCCTAAACTCAGCACAGCCCGGGGCCCCGGACGCCGACGTTCTTCTTCCGCTCCGTCATCGTGATCGTCCTGCTCCATTTCGAGGGTCCAAGAAGGAGGGGGGGGGGTTTAGGGTTTATGGTTTAGGGTTTAAGGTTTAGGGTTTAGGGTTTAGGGTTAGGGTTTCGGGTTTAGGGTTTAGGGTTTAGGGAACCTTAGGGAGCACACGAAAACCCTCCTCCCGAATGGTCGTTGTTTCGTGGCGGCGGTGAGTCCGTGGAGACGTGTAGCAACCCATCTTGGGGGTCCATGTACCTACATGGGGAATACCTTCTTCAGGCGGGAGATCTCGTCCTGGTCCCTGTCTGCCACGAGCTGGAACACTTCGGCGATGGCTCCACATACCCCCTGCGACCAGCACGGCAAGAGCTGCCCATTCCAGGGTGACCAGATCCTCCCTCGAGGGAGGTTGAAGCTGTAGCTGGCCCGTCAGGATGGTGCGACGTCGCCGAGGCACACGTCCAGCTTGGAGCCATCTTCTTGATGGAGAGGATGCATGCACCCAAAGAGCCCAATATGGCTTAATTAAGGAATATACCCTTAAATCATAGTAAGGATCCCTATATGATTTATGGGATGTCCCTCCTGATACTAACAATCCTTCATAGGGATTGTAGCACCCCCTATTAGCATCCCCATGAAGGACTGCTAGTATAAGGGGGAACATCGCAACTCATAACTATTTACCTGGGCCCCAAAAGTCCCTATATAGGAGGTACTGAAAGGCCCAATCATTCCCTACTTAGGTACAAGGACCCTTCGGGATGGTCAGCAGAGCAGCACCGCCAGCTGCAGGCCCAATAAACGCGCGGGTCCAAAATGCCGAGCAGATGGTGCACACCCCTAAACCGTTGCCTGAACCCTAAACCCTAAACCCTAAACCCTAAACCCTAAACCCTAAACCCAACAAAGCCCCTCAACAGGTGACCTAAACCACACCTACCCACCCCCAAAAAGGAAAACACCAATGCTTCTCTTACACCCTCAGCCCTCCAGCAACTTACATACCCTTGATAGTACCCCTGAAGGGGCCCTTCTTTCTACCACAGCCGTATGCCCAGCAATCTGACGTTCCGCGTTCCTTCCCACTTAACTGTACTGTGAGTAGGAATGAAAATGGTTAGTTGCTAGATGCCTTAGGCGCATGGACTGTGAAGATGCAAGTAGGCTGCAGGGGTACCTTCGTGGCTCCGAGGTATGCGTTTTTCACCCTAAACCCTAAACACCTAACCCCAAACCCCAAGCCCTAAACCTTAAACCCGATTTTGGAGTAGACCCAGGCAAGTTCTGTATGCTGGTCTCTGAAGTCAACCAGCACCTTTCACCCTGTACACGCAGGCATATGGCTTAAACAACAGCCCCGTTCCAGAGCCCACGGGGGCCCGAAACACTGTTGCAGCTTTTCTTGGATGATGTGTGTGCGTGGCGCTATACAGACCCTAGTTCCCGCTAATTCCCTGCTAAGCACCCTCAACCCTAAACCCTAAACCCGAAACCGCAAACCCGAAACCCTAAACCCCAAACCCTAAACCCGAAACCCCAAACCCTAAACCCGAAACCCTAAACCCGAAACCCTAAACCCTAAACCCGAAACCCTAAACCCTAAACCCTAAACCCCAAACAGACCCCCCCCCCCCCCCCCCCCCCCCCGCGGCCTTCGACAGCCCTTGGAGCGGCCGAGCTCCCTCAGAAGGCTTGGGGCGAAGTTGGGGTGTTTTCTCTACTGATATGCCCTAAACCCTAAACCCTAAACCCTAAACCCTAAACCCTAAACCCTAAACCCTAAACCCTAAACCCTAAACCCTAAACCCTAAAAACCATAACCCTAAACACCAAACACCCCAAATTCGTTACTAGGTGGGGTGCGGGGCTAGGGTTTCCGGACTTATGGGCCTACAGGGTTTTGCGGGTGCCTCTTAGGGATTTTCGGGTTGTTAGCATGAGGTGTTTTTTACGGCACTTTTTGTGGCTTCGAGGGGTTTGTCGGGTAGGATGCATAGGAAGGCTTGCGGGGCTATCAGGCTTGCTGAGAGCATCTTTAAAACTAAGTCTTAAGAAGACCGGCAGGGGAAATGTCCGATGCTCAAGGTGCGGTTATCTTCCCCTGATCTAATATTTGCTTTAGAACCACCCAAAAAACACAAACATCTTCCTTACAAGGGTAATATGGGGATCATTATCTTTACCTTTTTGTTTTTTGGAGGGGGGAGGGTTCTTAAGCAAATAAATAGGAACCCTAAACCGTAAACGTAAACACTAAACCCCAAAATAGAAGTACAGTACTTCCCAAAGCCGGTACGAACCTCTTCCCGAAAAAGACCGGCGAAAGCTTCTCCCTCCCCCCACTTGCTTCGTCACGCGTGGCTCATCTGAAGCAGGGTATATATTTCTTGTAACCCCAAAAGGACACCGGCATATACACTCACGAATATTAAAAAGGAACCTTATATACACTCACCAAAAACAGTAACATAAACCCTGCTTCATATGTTTCAGAATACATACTGCACCCTGGAGAATAACGTCAAACTCGGCTCCTTAGTAAGGACTCTTACCACATGGTCGAGTTCCTCGAATAGACCTGTGGGCCAACACCTATGTGGACCATCAAGAAAGTAGCCCTGCAAGGCAGTCGCAGCCCTGGAAGTACTACTGCAAGCTTCATACAGCCTAAGCCTCCGTAGACGCAACCCAAAACCAAAGCACTACCAAAAACATCCGATAAAGAATGCATTTTCGCCTCAGAAAAGAGCCTTTAAAACCCTTTAAGCCCTAGAAGCCGTGTAAGCCCTAGACGTCCCCAAAGCCCTATACGCCCTAAACCCTCGAAACCCTCTAAACCCCAAACACCCTAACCCCAAGCACCCTAAACCCTAAACCCTGAACCCTGAAGCCGAAACCCTAAACCCTATAAACCTATAAACCCGAAACCCTAAACCCAAGGCAGCGGCCGCAGAAGCTGTTCAAAAGGCTTCTCCTCCTCGGGGATCTCCTCAGCGGCCTTCAGCTTGCGGAGCGAAGGCATGGGAATTCGTGCGGCTCATCTTGCCGAGTATACTTCTGTAGGGTGCTTAAGGGGAGGGTTGAGGGTTGGCTTTCTCGGAAAGCTTCCCCAACTCCGTCGACCGCAACTTCGGGTCGGACAGGAGGAACTTGTCGATGTCCGGAGCGGGGACAGGGCCGGGAAACTCGAACGGCCGATCCTGCACGAGGTGGGCTTTGAGAAGGGCCAGCAAGTCCAGCCGAGGGCGCGACTGGGGAAGTGCCGTTGCACTTGGTGTCCATGATCTCGGCGGCTACCTTGTAGCCGCGGGTGCGCAAGGTGTCCACCAGGACATCCAGCAACGGCCGGTGTTTCGCGTGCGTGATGCCACGCACATTTTCGAACACCGCCACTGATGGCAAGGTCGCCAGGACGTAGCGAAGTGAGTGCAGGATTACCCAGCCACGGGTGTCCTTCAATCCTTTCCTGAGTCCGGTCGCCGAGAAGGGCGGGCAAGGGGCGCCGGTGATGAATAGGGGTTCTTACGGAGGGTTTAGGGTTTAGGGTTAGCGGGCTTCGTAGGAGGTAGGTACCTTGGAATTTTAGGGAAGCTTAGGGAGACTGAGGGAGTAGTGGGGAGTACTAGGAAACCTTGGGTTGTATACTCCCCGAACCTCCCTCCCTTAGGGAACTCATAATATAAGGGTGGGGTTTAAGGGCTTAGGGTAGGTGTTCCTGTAACTTGGGAATGAAAAAAAGCGAAGGTACCTTTAACCAAAACTGGCCAAAATCGGGCATCCCAGTAATGGGGTTATACAGGGTTGACCCCTAAAAGGGGGAAACCTCATACTCAAATCGCAAATGCAGAGTGGTAGACATCTACTTCGTGTTTCAGGGCTTAAGGGCTAAGAGCTAAGGGTTTACGCTTCTCCGAACAAGGCACCTCCCGAATACGTCGTCCGGAGTCAAGTCAATAAGGCCCTAAACCCTAAACCCTACACCGTAAACCCTAAACCCTAAACCCTACACCCTACACCCTAAACCCTAAACCCTAGCCCTAAACCGCTGATTAGTGCGTCAAAGGCTCCGGAGCCCTCCCCGTGCGGCTTTAATCTCCCAGTATCTTAGGGGGGACATGAATTCATGCGTTCCCCTACTACCCCCCTCTTTACTACCCCCTAGGCCCTCCATGCTACCCCCCTAGGTTCCCCTAAAACTCAGGCTATTTAGGGATCATTAATCCTAATTAAGAGTATTTAGTGGGTGGGGGGGTAGTATAGAGGGGGGTACTGGGAAAACCCATGGATTCATGAAGCTTCTTCTGTAATGAACTCTGAATGAGTTCATAACAAGGACGCCTCACACCCCAAACTCCTAAACCCTCAAACCCCGAACCCCAAACCCCGAAACCATCAACCCCTAAAACCCTAACCCGAAACCATAAACCCCTAAACCACTAGAGCCCTAAACCCTAAACCCCAAAGCCCTAAAACCCTCACTGCCCCAAAAACATCAACAACCCCGCAAGCCCTGTTGCAGCCAAGCTGGGGTAGGTTTGGGGGCCCTATAAAGCATGACTTTTTCTGACTTTAGAAGGACTCCTATAGGAATAAGGGAAATAAAAAATAAAGAGTATGTTCAAGCATACCTAAACCCAAAACCCTAAATCCTAAACCCTAAACCCTACATCCTACCCCTGCAGGAGCCCAACCCCCCAATCATGTCCTACCTGGAACCTGAGCTTCTCCTTCAGCGCCTCTCTGTCACCTGCCACAGGATTGGGGAGGTTTAGGGTTTAGGGTTTAGGGTTTAGGGTTTGGGGTTTGGGGTTTAGGGTTTCGAGCTCAGGGTTAGGGTGCCAAAAAGGACTGGCCCTGCGATGTTGGGGGGTGCAGGGGCTCATTGGTTAAGGGGCGTAGGGCGGAATCCTAAATGCCGCAGTCCGCATGTACACACCCCCTGTCCCCATATATATATATATACATACATATATGTATATATATATATATATATGTGTACCCCAATAAATCCTTAAATCCCCTCATATTATATACATCTGGTAAGAGAGCCTCTTGTGAGCCACCTTCTTGCTTAAAAAGCTCGCAAACACTTGGAACATCTGGAATATCTGGAATATGCAAGACGTTTGTAAATGTCTCAAACATCACAGATATCTAGAATATCTCTGATGTTGTAGAATAAACCTAAATCCCTAAACCCTAAACCTAAATCCCTAAATCCGAAACCCATCCCTGAACCTAAGCCCTAAATCCCTAAACCTTCAATCCCTACACCCTAAGACCCTAAATCCCTGAACCCTAAGTCCCTTAACCCTAAATCCCTAAACCCTAAATCCCTGATCCCTAAACCCTAAATCCCAAAACCCTAAACCCTAAAGCCCTGAACCCTAAACCCCGTTCTGGGCGCCGGGCCAGCCGTCTGATGAGGCCACTGCGCTGAGGTGACAGGCCTGCGGTGGTTTGTTTAGGGTTTAGGGTTTAGGGTTTAGGGTTTAGGAATTAGGGTTTAGGGTTTAGGGTTTAGGGTGTCGGCTTAGGGTTTAGGCTCTCTCTCTCTCTCTCTCTCCGGTTTAAGGTTTAGGGTTTAGGGTTTAGGCTTTAGGGCCAAGACAACATTGTTGCTTTTGTTGGTGGCCTTGAGTTTAGTAGGGTCGGGTATCTAAGAATCATCGCAGCATCTAGGGATGGGTTGGAAGGCAGGGGGATGCAAGGCCCGTGAACAAGCCCGAACAAGGGAATATGGGCGCCATATGCCCTCTCCTTTCCACCCCCTTGGTTGCTTACGAGTTGAGGGTTAGGCTCAGGGTGCTAAACCCAAACCCTAAACCCAATCCCTGAGGACTTAGCCGGCAAACCCTTTCCTGAACGTGAGCTGCGAAGCCTCCTTCGACATCTCAAGCGGCTTATAAGACAATCAATCGTCTTGGGCACTCAAAGCCCTAAACCCTAAACTCAAGATAATCTGTGCTCTGTTAAGCTTGGGAAACCACAAAACAGTAAAACCGAGAAAAAAACCAAATCAAATGCACTTCCGCGGAAATTCAAACCACAAAGGAAGCCAGAAAAAAATCACAGCCAAAAACCACAGCAAAAAACACCAAGAAATACAGCCAGAGGCAAGTGCAAGAGCAACACCCGCGATTGCTTATTTTGAAAATTATTTGAATCTGGCCCGGAACCGAATCTGGAAAACGTCTGAAGAAACAAGTGAATTCTACTTATTTCAGCAAAACCCTAAACCCCAAAACAAGACCAACAAACTTCCAGCAAACGCATAGACAAACCTCTGCCCCAACGCCCCTTTCTTCCGCGCCCTACACCCTAAGGGTTTAGGGTTTAGGGTTTAGGGTTTAGGGTTTAGGGTTTAGGGTTTAGGGAACCCCTAAAGACACCATGCCACCGCCCAAGTAAGACCACATCAACCACTAAGAATCTTCTAAGGACGGCCCTTAAAACCCTCTGAGACATGTTTAGGGTTTAGGATTTAGGGTTTAGGGTTTAGGGTTGTTCATAACTACGATCCTCCTAATCCCAATAAGGGAAAATAGAAGATCTGGCAAGGGCCTACCTAGACAAGGAGACAACCAAAGAAAACAAAAAATGAATGCGAGCCCACCGCAGGACCAAAATCCCAAACCCTACACGCTAAATAGTTTATGGTTTGGGTTTAGGGTTTAGGGTTTAGGGTTTAGGGTTTAGGGTTTAGGGTTTAGGGTTTAGGGTTTAGGGTTTAGGGTTTAGGGTTTAGGGTTTAGGGGTTAGGGGTTAGGGGTTAGGGGTTAGGGGTTTAGGGTTTAGGGGTTAGGGGTTTAGGGTTTAGGGTTCAGGGTTTAGGGCGCAGAGCCCGGAACCGGCACCTTCCGTCCCCCGTGCTGCTCTTGGTCGCGGACGGGGAACCTGGCAAGGTCGATTTGGAGTTCGAGGGCTTCCCGGAGCTTCCAAAACCCCTAAGTTAAGGAACATGCCCTAGTTCATAATCATGATCCTTAGTATACATTAAGGCATGTTCCTTCGTTAAGGAACATACCCTGATGTATACTAAGGATCAGTATGATGAATTAGGGTATTCCTCAATTAAGGGGTTTTGGAAGGTAAGGAACATACCCTAATTCATAATACTGACCTTCCAAATAAGGGGTTTTGGAAGATCTGGGCTCAAGATGCACAAAGGCAACAGACCAGAAGGTCGAATGTGCATGTCTTTTCAGGGATGAGTGATTTCGGGCTACAAAGGCTTTCAGGGTTGCGTGACCCCTAAACCCTGAATGAGTGCTTTAGGGCCATAAAGGCTTTCAGGGTTGCGTGACCCCGAAACCCTGACCGCAAACCCCCACGAGCTTCAGCCCCTTACAACTCGAGGGTGGGCTTGGTAACCCAGTAGGCTATGAAACTTCTGTGGGCTTATTGGGTCCCTTCAAACCTAAACCCCAAACCCCAAACCCCAAACCCTGCACCCTAAGTCCCTAAAACCCCAAACCCTAAACCCCAAACCCTAAACCCTGGCCTATCATCACCAGGGGCTGTGAGCATTAACATTATAGCTTAGTTGCCCAGTAACTTGGGGGAACTAAACGGTAAGCTTTGGGATTATAAACCCTAAAACCTAAACCCTAAACCCAAAAAGGTTAAAGGTTACCTACTCTACTACTCGGATAGGATCTGCGGATGGCAGTCCCCGCCCTGTGGTCAACCTTGAACTGCACAAGCCCCGTGAGACCGGTTGAGGGTTTGGGGCTTGGGGGCTTAGGGTCTTGGGTTTGGGGTTTAGGGTTTTCTGGCTTTCGGGCTGAGGGTTTTGGGTTTGTAGGGTTTAGGGTTTGGAGCTCGGACCCCAACACGAAGCCCTCGACCCTGGAGCCTTAGAACCCTCGAAACGACATCTTTTCAGTTCTGTAGGTGATAGTAGTACCCTAAACCCTAAACCCTAAACCCTAAACCCTGAGTCCCCAAAGGTGTAAAGTGTACTCAGTCAGCTGCTAGGACATGTAAAGAAGCCGGGGAGACCGGATCGCTGCGTCCCGGCTGTTGGGCCTCCCGCAATTTGGGGGGGGGGGGGGTTTAGGGTTTAGGGTTTAGGGTATACGGTTTGGGGCTTAGGGCTTAGGGTTTAGGGGGCTTCCCGGAAGGTGGAGGGCTTTAGGTTTCCAGGGTGTGTTAGGTGGCCGAGGGAGCTTCAGGCTTCTGGGGGTTTAGGGTTCAGGGTTTAGGATTAAGGATTTAGGGTTAAGGGTTTAGGGTTTAGGGTTTAGGGCTTAGGGATGCGGAAGTTTTGAGGCAATCTTGGGGAAGTTTTAGGGGCTTACTTAGGGGAGTTTGGGGCTTCATGTGACAAAAAGAATCGGTTGTTTGAGGCCTTGGGGTTTTAGGGGCTTCACGCTTTCAGGATTTAGGGTATTCTGGGAGTTCGGGATTTTGGGAGTTAGAATTTGCGGTTTTGGGGTTTTCGGGGTTTAGGGGGTTGAAGAAGTAGGGTTTAGGGTCAAGGTACCTGGGGAACAGTATGGAAGCTTCAGGAGCTCAGGGAGTAGTGTGGGGAGTATTCGGGAACTTTGAAACCCCCTCCGTTAAGACCCTATAATAAACGAGCGATTCCCAAACAAAACAACCTCCACAAGCCGACAGCAGGCCCCAAAACCGCGCAACCCTAAACCCTGGAAGACAACACCCTGGCCTGGTGTGCCTGGAGTCTGCAGGGACCTCGGCGATTGGCTTTAGGGTTTAGGGTTCCCTTCTTGGGTCCTATTTATAGTGGGGCACCCTTATACGCAGGACCCCAAAAGGGACCCGAATTTGGAGATGAGAACCCCAACAGATGAAAGATGATGGGTAATCCCTTATGTTACCCTGAATATAGGCTATTGTTCCACAGCCCACGACAAAAGCCTGGGCTCCTTGAAGCCCCAAGCACCCTAAACCCTAAACCCTAAACCCTAAACCCTGAACCCTGAACCCTGAACCCTGAACCCTGAACCCTCCAAGGACCCGGCGGCAGCTTCCGCTGGCGCCCGGAGCGGAAGAGCGCGTCGGTCGCGGGCCACCATCGATCTGTCGGAGTGAGGCCGTCCTCCATGGGTTTAGGGTTTAGGGTTTAGGGTTTAGGGTTTAGGGTTTAGGGTTTAGGGCCAACCATAAACCCTATAGTCCTCCATGGGCTTAGGGTCACTTATGGGTTTAGGGTTTAGGGACCCTAAACAATATCCCGAAGCCCCAAACCCTGAACAAAACCCTAAACAACCGTTTGTTCTGTTTTGTTTTGTTTCTCTTTTTTTTTTTTTTTTTTTTTTTTTTTGGGGGGGGGGGGGGGGGGGGGGGGGGGGTGGGTGGTTCGGGGTCTGTCGTCCTCCGACACGGCGGGTTTGCGGGTGTCTAAACCCTAAGCCCTAGACCCGAAAACCCTGGGGGACGTCAACAACAAAACAAACACCCAAAGAGCCCAATATTGCTCAATCAAGGAATACACCTTAAATCATAATATAGAGATCCTTAATATGATTTAAGGAACATTCCTTAATATGATTTAAGGAACATTCCTTAACTAAGGGAATGAACATTTCAGGGGCCCAAGTCGGCCGTAAGTGTTCGGTTAGGGCCTAGGAGGTTCAGTGTCTCGGGCCCGGGGGGCTAGGGTGGAAGTACTTCGGATCACGGTTTAGGGTTTAGGGTTTAGGGTTTAGGGTTTAGGGTTTAGGGTTTAGGGTTTAGGGTCCCCACAAAATGAAAGCTGAAACCCCAAAGCACCTTCTCACAGGCTAGCTTTTTCTGCTTGCACGGTTCTTTGAAGGCAAGCTAACCCTGAAGAAGGGGTACAAGGATACTACCCTAAACCCTAAACCCTCAACCCTAATTAACCCCTAAACCCTACTTCTTCCTTTGCATTCCGCTCCCGAGTCCCGAAGCCCAAATCCTGAAACCACGGCCGGGTTTCGGGTTTAGGGTGTAGGATTTTTGGGATTAGGGTTTAGGGTTTAGGGTTTCGGGTTTAGGGTTTAGGGTTTCAGGAACCATCCTAGACCCCAAACCCTGTACACCCTGACACCCCGAATGCTGAAAGCCGAATACCTGAATTTCCAGATTGTACTCCCGAAACTAGAAACCCTAAACCCTAAACCCTAGCCCTAAACCCTAAACCCTAGCCCTAAACCCTAAACCCTGAAACCCTCCAGACCTGCCTTGAACGCACCCAAGGCCGGCAAGGAGCTCGATGCCTCATCGCGCCGCAGGGCAAGCCTGCGTTGAGGGTTTAGGGTTTCGGGTTTTGTGGGTTTAGGGTTTAGGGTTTAGGGTTTAGGGTTTAGGGTTTAGGGTTTAGGGGTTTGTAGGCTAAAGGGTTTAGGAAGCTTAGGAGTTACAGGGTTCAGGGTTGAGGGCTCTAGGAAGTCGAGGAGTTACAGGGCTTCCGGGGGACTCTCCTTACCTACAGTTTTATGGGTTCTACCTACGAACTAAGAGGTAGCTAAACCCTAAACCCTAAACCCTAAACCCTAAACCCTAAACCCTAAACCCTAAACCCTAAACCCTAAACCCTAAACCGTAGGTAAATAGAGTCCCAGGTGGGGTTCAGAGGCTCTAGGGTTCCAGAGGGGCTCGAGGGGCTCTGGGTCGAGGTGATGAGGCATGGCATTCTGGGGGGGGGGGGGGTTTAGGGTTTAGGGTTTAGGGTTTAGGGTTTAGGGTTTAG